TCAAAAAAATGAGGAGAGGCTTAGGAACCTCCAGGACATCTTTAAACGTTCCAACATCTGAATTATAGGGATACCAGAAGGGGAAGAGGAACAGCCACCAGTGGAAAACTTATTTGAACAAATAATAAAGGAGAACTTCCCCAATCTGGCAAAGGCGATAGACTTCCAGGAAATCCAGGAAGCTCAGAGAGTCCCAAAGAAGTTGGACCCAAGAAGGAGCACACCAAGGCACATCATAATTACATTAGCCAAGATTAAGATGAAAGAGAGAATTCTAGAAGCAGCAAGAGATAAGGGGACAGTCACCTACGAAGGAGTTCCCATCAGACTGTCAGCTGATTTCTCAAAAGAGACCTTACAGGCAAGAAAGGGCTGGAAAGAAGTATTCCAAGTCATGAAATCCAAAGACCTACATCCAAGATTGCTCTATCCAGCAAAGCTTTCATTAGAATGGAAGGACAGATAAAGTGCTTCTCAGATAAGGTCAAGTTAAAGGAGTTCATCATCACCAAGCCCTTATTATATGAAATGTTAGAGGGACTTATCTAAGAAAAGGAAGATAAAAACATGTATAGTAAAATGACAGTAAAATCACAATTATTAACAACCACACCTAAAGCAAAAACAAAAACAAACTAAGCAAACAACTAGAACAGGAACAGAACCACAGAAATGGAGATCACATGAAGGGTTAGCAACAGGGAAGTGGGAGGAGGAGAAGGGGGCAGAAAGTACAGAAAATAAGTAGCATAGATGGTGAGGAGAAAATAGACAGAGGGAGGACAAGAATAGTACAGGAAATGGAAAGGCTAGAGAACTTACGACACATGGACATGAACTAAAGGGTGGGGAATGTGGGTGGGAGGGGGTGTGCAGGGTGGAGGGAAATGAAGTGTGGAAAACGGGACAGCTGTAATAGCATAATTAATAAAGTATATTTTTTTAAAAAAGAGACACTTTGCACCAATAAATTGAAACTTATTACTTAACTCCTGCCTACCACGATTCTTGGTTGTAAAAAGTGGAGGTTAACTTAGGTTAACTAAGTTAACTTCAGGTTAACTTACACAGAAAACCACACTGCCCTGGGGCTGCCACATGGGCACTAGTCACCCTCACTGTTAGTCTCCTGACCCCTGACCTGCACAGTGATCATAAACCCTAGCTGTTCCTGATTCCTCCCACATTAGCAGCAACATAGAAGGGTGATGTAGAGGGGGAGGGGGAAGAAACATTTGTGTATGACTGTATGCATATGCACAAAATAGATCGGGAAGGATACACAGAAACTGGATAATTTCTCTTGGGAAAAACTGGGTGGTAGGAAGACAAGTGGAGGGAAGATTTCTCACAATATAAAAAAATTTGACATTTATAATTTTGATCCATGGGAATACATACACTATTTTAAAAATTAATAATTTAGCTCTGACTGGTCATGTCTCTCTCTTTCTCCCTCCCTTCCCTTCTCTTTACTAAATAGATAAATAAAATCTTCAAAAAATTAATTATTTAAATGGGACTTATGTCCTATTCGATCCAATTTAAGACTTAAATTTTATACCTGATTTGGAGCTCGCTCCTCCCCTCCCGGGTCTGGCATGATGTGTGGCTCCCCAGCCCGAAGCTCAGAAGGAGTCAAGCCCTGTTTTTTTGTTCCTACTTTCACTCTTCCTCCCCTTTACTCTCTTGCTCTTGACTCCTGCAGGGGTGGAATGAGGTTAAAACCTCTTAGATGGCATTATTTGTGCTTCTCATCTGATGGTCCATAATTCTGGATTTGGGGCTCTCTGTGGAATTTTCAATAGTTCCCCTCATCCTCCTCTGCCTGCTGAACTCCATTTGCATAGTATTCTGCGGTCACATGCTGTTTGGCTGACATCCTGTAACTCCCTCCTCCCACTCCTGCACCTGAGGGGTCTTCCATAGTCCCTTATGCTAGAGGATAAAGGACTTCCTTCCCAAGCAGACTACCCTTTTAGAAGGAAGCTCAGCTTTCTTTCCTGGCATCCATTTCACCCACGGGAATATTACACATCTTGCCACCACAAATACTGACCTGCCTCTAATGAGGGCTGCTCCAGCCAGCTTTGAATTCTCCAGACAGGAAGCAAATATTAGTCTCTAGGTTAGGTCTGCCATCCAAACTCAAGTGTTCCTGAGCATTCTTTGACCAATTAATTCTACTCTAGGGTGCTGAAGTGGGCTAATGAATTTCTGAAGGCATTTAGTCTGAGATTGAATGCCAGTCTTTTTGTAAGCCCTCTCTCACCTACTTGTCTGGGAGTGGGAAGAAAAGAGAACATTAGACTGACAACGCATGACTCAGGGAAAGTCCCTCACACAGTGAATTCTACTCTTTTGCTTATTTGAGCTTCTGGGATGTGAGGGTGAGAATCTGGAAACAAGCTTGGCCACTCATCAAAAGATGAAGAGAAGTAGCTCCTAAACTGCCCTCCTCAGGATATGCAGATATTATGGCCTATTGCCCTCAGTGTTGGGCTTTAGCCAAGATTTTGAGACAAATAAAAATGTCCTATTTCATATCTGCTTACATTAGTAAAAACTTCCAAACATCTTACCATACAAAGCAGAAAGTTATCTTTAATGATAATGACTACCATTTTGTTGCAGACCGCTCTGCCTGGTTCTAGGAATTATATCTCAACTCCCTGTGGCTAAGGGCTAGCGGCTACCTCTGGAATGTGAGCTGGAGGAGACAAAGCTTGTCTCTGGTAGCAAACACTGCCTCAGTTCCTCTCCCTGCCCCCAAAGCTTGGTTGGAAGTCAATGATGGGTAAGACCCCTCACAGCGGAGGGCAACCTAAGCCAGACTCAATCACTTGGGAGGCCTTCATGGAAGGACTCAGGGGGCTGCAACAAAGAGCAATGGACTCTCGCCCCCCCTCCAGCTTTGACATAGCCCGAGTCCCCATGTCCTCTGGGAGAAGCACTTCCTGGATCCAATCCCCTTAAGGGTGAATACCTGGTGGGGAGAGGTGCAGCTCCTCGCCTTGCTAGAGTGTGTCATGGGGAAAAATCTGGCATCACAAAGACTTCCTGATAAAGCTGTGAAATCTGCTCTGCTAAGAGTGCTTTCATTCATATGTTAAGGGTTTGAGCAGGAAACCCTAAAACTCTGTTTCTGACAGACTCTCATACTAAGCCCTCAGATTTCTTTGAAATGTTATCTACTGTTTGATTCTTGCTGCCCTGTATTCCTGTGTATTACAACCCAATAAAAGTCTCTAGAGGAGTGGGCTCAACGCCTTTTTCCCCTGAGACACTGGCCACTTCTCCTCCCCAAGCAGATCACATCATATCTGTCATGATTACTCTCATCCATGGCACATGGGGGGACTTGCGAGGAAAGTCGCCCCCACACCATGTATTGAATGTTTACAAGGTACTAAGAACTTTACACATTAATGCATTAACTGCTCACAACACTATTATGAATCAGGAATTTTTATCCCCATCTCAGGGAGAAAACCTGAGGCTCACATGTTGTATAGCTAGTGACAGACTTGAAATCTGAATCCAGGTTTGTCTAACTTCAAAATCAATCTGCATATAAATATGAGTGGTACAGGTAGAGTCTAGTGCAATAGTCTGTCAACAGTGATCTAAGGAAGTGGGGTGGAAGTGTCATAATTATGAGGGATTGAAGTATCATCCAACATTGTGTGTGGATTCAATAAACAAATGTATATGCTATTTCCCTTATACATCAGTTCAGTTCAATTCAACAAATAATAAGTTCTCTATTTGTGGCAAGCAGTGTTCTGGGTATTGGGGAGACATCAGTGTACAAAAGAAACTAAAACTCCTTTCCTTATGGAAATAATTCATGAAAATCATACCAAAATTATATTTTTGTCATCGTGCATTTTATCAATTAAATGAAACTAAAAACATAACTATTATCATATAAAGGCTGTGGGAAAACTTTGCTTTCTGGAAACTATGGACAGGATCCTTTAAATGAGGGAGGGATTTTGTGTGCAGTCAAGCCTCACCTGGGACTGACAACATCTGGGTCATAGAGGTCACACTGGACAATCGGCTTGGGTAATCCCACTTGTACACCACAGTGCTCAGTGTAAATGATAATGACTGCTTATGTGAATCATCACTACAATTTCATTGGTGATAGTGATGAGGAATCTCAGGGGGCACAGCTGGAGGTAGGGAGGTGGATTACTTTATCTCTTGCTTACTCTTTGACTCTAGGACTCTTTGGGGTTCCTTCTAAAGCTCTTACAGAAGAGTAATGATGGGAAGGTTTGTGCAAAGCGGGAGAAGGCACACTTGACCTATAACTTCAGTCGTCCAGGAGCCCCAGGGAAGAGGCGCTCCTTCACTTAGTGCTAGTCAAAGGCTGTATCTATGATAGCTTGTTTTACCAAAAGATTCATATTCCAAGAAATTCAGTGTCAATAAGATATCTTTCGGTCTTTCTTGTATTTACCCTCCCTGGACACAAGCTTGAGTTCAGACCCCTAATGATGATGGACGGATTAAGGATAGTAATCCTTTCAAGGCGATGAGGAGTGCTATGCTTTTCATATGCCAGACGAAGAAAATGAGGTGCAGCTTGGCCAAGGGCCACGTGAAGTTCTCTACTGCTCTTTGCACCCTACATCTCTCCTTTCGCCACCTCATCTCTGGTGTTTCACTCCCTTCCCTGCCGGCATCCACCGCCGCCCCACTTGAACTATGAGTGTCAGCCCTGAAAAAACTACATTTCCCACAGTGCCACGCGGTGACCAGCCTGGCGTAGGGTTTTACCTAAGCTGCCGTTGTAATTAATATTGGTTCAAACCCACATTTCCGGTGGAGAGCCAAGTTATTGTCCCCTTTTGTGTTAAGACGCCTTTTTTCTTCTTCACCTGCGATTCCCGGTGTTCGGCTGAAGAGGCCTCAGCGGGTGGAAATTCATTCAGGCGACTGCTTTGGCCACCAGCTTCCTCCACAGGCCTTGGCCTCTGACAGGTCCCCGGGGGCCTGGGAGTGTCATTGGTGGATGACCGCAGTCCTTGCCGTCGCCGCTGCTACCGCAGCCATGGCCTCCGGTAGCAGTGGCCTCACCGCCGCCCGCCTCCTGTCGCGCTCCTTCCTCTGTGAGTCCGGCCAGGACGCTCTGCTCCAGACTCCGCGGCTCCTGGCCTCACCGGGGCGGGACCTCGGCGGGGGCCGGGAGCTGCGAGAGTCCGGCCCCAAATCAGGGACCTTCTGGGGTCCGGGGAACTTGGCTGGACGTGTGGGGCGGAGGCGTGACTTAGGCTGCTGGCAGTTGGGGCAGTAGGGTGGCTGAGCCAGGTTTCAGAATTGAGAGCCAGGCAGACTTGGTGGCTTGCTCTTGCCATGTCAGCAGTGGTGAGTGGCGGGATGGGGACCATTACCAGACTGGCCTACGTAGGAGTCAGACGTGAGGTGGTCCAGGATGAGCTCAACTGGGAGGGTGGGCGTCTGGAGTTAGAGGTATGGGAGGTAGATACGTCGTAGTTCTTATCTTCCATATTACCTATTACTAATTGGGGGGTAATCTTGTGTAAGATTGTCACATGTGTAGAAGGGTTGTACATTTCCAGCTATCTTTAATGTACGTTGTAGGGCTTGCAAAGAGAAGTAGGTTCTGTAACTAGAGTCAGCATAGCCTAGAAGACTTCTAGAAGCTTAGGGTTGGCCGGGACCTTAACCAGCTTGTTTGCAATGCCCACGCCAGGCGGTGTGAACCCTCAGTTCCTGAAAACTTAATACCCAAGGTTTCTAGTCACTGAATAACGCTGACTGTTGAAAATTCTTGCCATGTTCAAAGCCTCTGTTTTTAGGTAGGTTGTGTAGGAAGAGACTTTGGAATCAGACTGACATCAGGGTTTGAAGTCTGGCCAGTTCCTTACAGTCTGTGTAATAGTCCTGGGTGCTTCTATTTCTCAGTTTCTGTTTCAGATCCCATGAAAATAATACCATATTTTAATGAATTCGAAGCATCATCATTTTTAAGACACACCATTGTTTTGTCTACCATTAACAGTGGGAAATGATTGCTAATTAAAATTGTGACACACCATTGGTTGTCAAGTGCATCCTGACTTAAGACATGTTAAAAGTGAAAAAATGTGCATTCTAGTAATGATGATATAATAAAATGATTTGCGTTCATTGTGCTGAACGAATGAAACAATTTATATAAAGCACCTGAGATGACATAGACACTAACATTAGTTCTCTTCCTTCTGCGTTGCTCTTCTGCTAAAACTGGATATTTGATGAGACAATTCATATCTCAAGAAGGTTATAGTCTAGAAGTGTCTAGCAATGGATGTGTGCTCAATAACTACACTTAATTATCAGTTTACTTGAAGACAAGGTCTGGCATACTCTTGGTAAGGAGGAAAAAGTTGGATTTCTATGGCAAAGTTTTCTGGAGATTCTTATTATATAATTTAAAGGACCTTTGAAGGTGTTGTGGGCAGAAGGAAGAAAGGCATTAGTGACACCCATGTGTTTCTCGTGGGGTCTTTGCTTCTTTGAGTTTCTGAAAAAATCTTAGCTTGCTGTCTTAGTTGGAGGAGAGTCTAGAGAAGGAAGGAAGAATGTCTGAGAGGTCAGGGTCCTTAATCCACTCTTAGTAATGAGTAGTCCTTCCACAGAACTGAAAGTTCTTTTTTCTTAGACTCAGGATCATGAGGTCTTAAGAGATTATCTACTTGAACTTTCTGTTGCTAGAGCAGTCTTCAGTTATCCTGGTCATGTGATCAACCCGTTTTTTAAGGGTCTGAGAGGTCTCTGAGAAAACTAAATTTCTCCTGTGTTAGAGCAGTTACAGACTACAGTTTTTGATGTATGAAAAGCCCCAAATCCTCTAGGTCTTTCTCATGCCACATTTCTAAGCCCATTTTTCCTCCCACTTGAAAAACAGCATCCACAACAATACCACCTTGCAAACTTTTTATAAAGGTATTTACAAATTAGGCTCTGAAGTTACTAATAAAGCCAGAAATGCCAGTGGGTGGGGTGGGTTATTCCTTCCATTCTCTTAAGATTTATTTGATGGTACATTTTGTGTTGTAGGTCATAAATGTTGCAATACTGATTTGAGTTAGGGAATAAATCCCAAACACTTGTATATCCCTTACAGAACTCTGTTGGAGGCAGCCTGGAATGTTTAGAAATTTCTGAGTGAAAAAACCCAGTTTTATAGCTTTTGGAAAATGGGAAATAATCCAGTTAAAGTGGGAGAGAAAGTAAAATGAAAAAGAAGCTTTTCAGGAGAAAGCTTGTTTTTATAGGCACCTTTAAAGTTAAGTTTTTCAAGAAGCATAAAGCAATCAGTGTCATTTTAAACATAAGTCCAGGAGCTCCTGTAAGTTGGGCCTTCTAGAAGAAATCGGGACAGTGAACCTTACAGTTCCATACCTTTGTTTGGCAAGTGAGGAAATAAACCCAGTAAGCTTCCTAGCCAGTGTCAGAATAGGTACTTGAGTGCAGGTCGTCCGACTCCACAGTGTCCTTCCTAATACATGCTGTGTGATGCTATACACCTCCTTTTTTTGAAGCTCTGATGTTTTTTTTTTTTTTTTTGGCAGTCCCAGTGGTTTCTCGAGAAGGTGACTGATTACCCTGCTCAAAGGTTCCACCTGCCTTTTCCATGGGTTTGCCAAATTGTGTGGGCCTGTTTTGGAATTGGGAAAACATTCGGAGGTGTGGTTGGGAAAAGGGGGCCCTCAACAGTGATGTTTCTGATACTAGTATTTATTGACATTACATCTAAGAACCAGGTCTTAATATTTCAGAACTACAAGATGGCCTTGGTCTAAATGCATCAATGTAGGGAGGAAAAAGTGAGTTGATTTTCTCACATCAAAGTTGTTCCTCCATAGAAGCATAATTGGGGATGTTCAAAATAATTTCTGAGTATAGGGAACAAGTTCATCTCGCCAAAGGACAGGCATTTTGTTGCTACAGACTCACTTTTTAAAAAAACATAACATTTCTAAAATTAGGATATATCTTACAGTAAACTGGCAGCATTTTTCTTTCTTCCTAGTACTTAATAGTTCTTCTTAAAATCAGTGTTTTAGATTTGATGAGATAAGGTCCTTACAGCCAAGCCTGATTTGTAAGCAAATGTTGAACTAAGAAGAAGTGGATTGTCGGGTTGGTTTGGGAGTAAGTGGCTGCTGAGCTACGCCGCTATGTTTTCAGGTTCAATAGGTAGGGGACATAATAGGCAATATATTATGTATATTATTATATATATATTATTAAGTATACATTTGTATGTTAATATTACTTGTGTATAATATTAATATGTACAATGTATTAATGTATGCATAGTACATTAATAGAAGTACATTTGTTAGATTCATGAGTACATGAATGAATAAATGAGTGATAAGGATGCAGTTTGAGAGGGGAGTTTGAGGAGCAGTGTGTTCAGGGACAGAGTCTCAGAATGTTGGTCAGGAACATGCTATTGGGTTTGAGTTGTATTCAGGCTATTTGGCCGTAGCTTCATTAATCCTTTATAGACGATGTTGCTCTCTAGGTGGAAGAGGACTCAGCATGTGGCTGACTGATACAAATGTATCACTCTTGCTGCAAATACATCTTTCTTAGATTTCTCAGTCCCTTTTCTTCATCGCCTGTGTTACATTTAGCACCTTTCATTCTTAGCTTCGGGCCTGAGTTCATCTTGTTCTGCCCTGAATTCCTAGTACCAGGCAGTTCACTTAGAGCAATGAACACCTCAGAGCAGTCTGGTCTTCTCATTCTGCATCAGTAATAATAATGATAATAAGTAGCTAATAGTGAAATAGCACTTGTTCTAGCCTAGGCATTATTTTATATGCTCCATATATTACAAACTCATTTAATTCTCAAATTGCCCATGAGGTACATAGTATTATCCCTATTTTTACAGTGCAACTGCCCCTTTCAAAATGTTTTGTATGTTGAAAATTTACATGTACTTGTGCCTGTACATATTATATATAGGCATGGATTAGTATATTTATACATAAACATATATAGGGTATACATGAAGACATACATTAAAACATTCTGGTTGGACTTATTTTAAAATGTGAATTATATGTGCTATCTTCTAGGAGGGGATTTACCTTTGTGCTTACATAGGATGTGAACCCAATATTGGGAGCGTATACCAGGCATTTTCCTACCCAATTTATAGGTATCATCTCATATCAACATCACAGTAACCTTGTGGGCAGCCGTTACAACATTTACAGATAGGAAGACTGAGGCTAAGGGAGATCAAAAGACCTTCCCCCAGGTCACATGGCTGGTGAACAGCTGAGCTTACACTTAGGCCCAGGCGTGTCTGATTCCCGGGACTGTGTTCTCAGGTACTCCTGGGACTCAGTCCCAAGGTTAGGGTGGCCAGTGTCTAAGAACCTGAAGAGAATGCTACTCTGCCACACACCCTTAGGTGGCCCAAGGTGTGGCTGGCAGCTGCGGCCTTCACCAGTGGGAGATTTTGCCTGGTGCCCCGCCACAGGCTGCTGTGATGCTTAGTTTAAAATACTCATTTTCTTAATATTAGTAAAGGCAGGTGCCTCCTCATATTTGGTTTACCATTTTTTCCGTCATCAGTTGTCGCTCCTGTTTATAGCCTGTCACTGCCATAACTGTGCCTGTGGTATGTTTTGCTCCAAGCTCTTTCTATTCTCCAATAGTGAAATAGTCCACTTGTATTACATTACTGCTTCTGGATTTCATTTGTTTAAAAAAAAAGTTGGCATGGAATTTGTACTGGATCCAGCTAGTAGCGTTTAGGACTGGACGTGCAATCTGCAGATTGTAGGAAGACCTGGGATCTTCGCATGCACGAAAATAGATATATCCCTTCCTTTCCTGATGAGTGGGAGTGCGAGCCTGACATTTCCCAAATCACACAAAAAGAGGTGGAACTTGGGACATTTTGCTTGATATAAGTGTGTCTCTTACAGACCTTGTCGCTGGTTCTGAAACTCACTCGTTTTCTGTGTACCTGCTCTGCAAGGCACTGTGCCATGGCCTGCGGGTGGCACCATGGCACACAACACGTGGTCTTTATACTCAGGGATTTACAGTGAGAACTTCTGAAAATACTCGGGTGATACGTGAAATAATCTAGAAATAACTTTAAGTTTACTTAGAAGTAATGCAGTAAAGAAGGTAACAAAATATTTGTACCCGCCCTGGCTGGTGTAGCTCAGTGGATTGAGCACGGGCCTGTGAACCAAAAGATCGCAGTTTGATTCCCCATCAGGGCACATGCCTGGGTTGCAGGCCAGTTCCCAGCAGGGGCCAGTTCCCAGCAGGGGATGCACCAGAAGCAACCATACATTGATATTTCTCTCCTTCTCGCCTTCCCTTCCCTTCTAAAGATAAATAAAATAAAATAAAAAGAATTAAAAAACTAAAAAAAAAAATTTGTACCCAACATACAGTGTGTGGCATTAAGTATTATATACCACAAGGAAATGTTTGCAGGTTCCATTCTTCTAGTCCCAGGTCCCCTCACACCCCTTGTATTTACAAGTCGTGAGTGTCATGTGTAGATTAAGGATTCCTCCCTGTGCAGTGTCTATTTAAATGAAGTATATTAATTAATACAAGTAAAATTCTCAGCAAATTGAATGCATTGACTCTCTAGTTGAAAGGTGGGAGCTGTTTGCAATATGGTTTGGCCACTAATCTATGCCCTGTGTTCTGGATTTAACTTCGGGCAATAGCTTTACTCTAGTTATTTCCTGGTTTTGTCATAGAGGTCAGGTTTGTGTTTAAAACCAAACTATGGTTGAACCTCTTTAAGGATTTGACAGACAGTTGATTTCTACAGTATACCTCTGAATTCTTCAGCAGAAGTAGAATAAGTTTTTTCCATAGCTTAAGATACTGATTAATAATTTGGGTTGAAAAGAAATCAAGTAGGGATTGATTTTCAAAGAAAATGCAAAGAGCCAGTCTGACACATTTAATGTTTATAGCACCTAGTAGTCTGCACTCTGTGCCAGCCCAAGCTAAAGAGGGGGGTGGAGGCGGGAGGGAAGGTGAAGAGGTGCGAAGGTGGCCATGAGGAGAGACCGCGCTCATGGGAGGCCTCCAGCCTGTGATTCGGGGCCTTGGATTGCATCAAGTGGGGAAGGGTGGCATAGGTGACTTAAAATTCGATGAGTTTTATTTGGAATGCAAGCATGTTTTGCATTGTTTTAATCCGAATACAAACAAATTGTAAAAGAGAAAGAATTTTCTTAATTCTGTATTTAAGTGGTAAGACTTATCACTGACTTAGTATTACCTTAAATACACCCACCAGTTGTTGCATGTGTCATGGTGGCGTGGAGCGATGGGAGCCTGAGAGATGGTCCTAGCTGGAGGACATGTCACTTGAAGCTGTAAGAGAAGGTGAAAAGTATTATGAGGGGTTATAATGCATAGCTGGCCTCCAGGTCCTCTTCAAGCCCTGGCAGCTGGGAGAGTGTGCTTGGTGTAAAGGACCAGGGCAGGTTCCTCCTCTGGTGTGGGGTGAGTGTCAGGGATTAAAAGAGCATTGTGGTGCTTACAGAATACCATCATGGCTAGCTGGGGGCGCTGCAGGGTTTTTCTCTGGGGTTCAGAGGCCATTTTGATTGCCAGCATTTCTTTCAGTTGACTTACAGGTTCTAGAGCAGTATTGCAAAAAAGGAGGGATGTGATGGTCAGTGATTCCTTATCTAGGACCTGTGACTGGTTTCTCTCTGTAGTGCGGGTACAGGTGTGTGTTTGGATGGTACGGGGCCAAGCTTGGTTGCGTGGGCCAGGAGCAGGGCAGAGGTGGAGGGAGTTTTTAGTTCCTGAGAGATTACCCATGGCCAGGAACGCAAACCATTTTTTAGGAGTTGGGAAGTCAGGCATCAGGTTTTGGGAGTGAATTGCTGGTAGCCCAGGGCTCAATTTGGAGGTAGCCCCAATGAGGGATCCATTCCTTAACCCTACTTTCTTTATCCCTCTTTCCCCTCACAGTAGAATGAAATCTACTTTCCTGTCTGAAAACTCCCCATAGATAGACTATTAATTGGATATTCCAAGAAAGGGGGATGGGGCTGGTGGAGCAGATTCTACGGGGAATAGCAGCTGGGGAGAAAAGGGTATAGCTCTTCCATAAGTACTGTTGTGGGTATCCAGCTGGTAAACTGGCAGCTAAGGACAAGAATAGGCCTTGAGTGACAGCACTGGATAGGGTGGGCTCTTAGGTCACAGATTCTTGTTGGAGTGTCCACTGGCCCTGGAGTGTTCAGATGCTTAGCTGTGCCCAGTATGCCAGGACTTGACCCTCAGTGCTCCTTTATGGCCCTTTGTTCAGAACAGTATAGTTGAAAAATGCAGTCGTTTGTCATCCAGCAGTTCTTGTGTACATAGAAGACTCCTCTCCTGATAAGTCTCCTTGATGAGGGTGAGATTTGGGCCTCTCTTCTGCAGGTAGAGGGGACTACAACCTTCAAAGTTATTAGAAGCTGTGCTCAGTGTGTGAGTTGGAGATGACTCAAGGGGTGCTCAAAGGGCCAGATGCAGATCGTTTACAAAACCTAAGGCCCAAGGACTTATGAGCCTGAGGCAGCGATTCAAGGTGAAAACTGTGGAGTAGAACATGGACAAACGTGAGAAGATGTTCTTTTCCGGGGGTAGCTTTTCTGGGCTACCTCAGTTGTAAGTAGACAGTCTAGCACTTTGAAGGGACCAGGCGTGGGCTGCAGAGACAGCGGTTCGGGGCTCTAAACAAAGGTAGTTAGAAGTAGCCCACGGTTTTAATTCATCTGGTCTCTATTTTCTACTGGTTCTTAAATATGGGGAGCTGGCTTTAGTAACTATTTAGATTTCTCAGTTTATGTTGAGATAGGTTGATGAAAATAACTTTTCTTTTTTTGAATGTTTCTCCCATGTCTGCTTTTTCAATTTATTTTATTTTCCCTATTTTTTTATGTATAAAGTCTTAAGTCTTATATCAGAAGCGATCAAATTAATTTTGGATTACTTTAGATAAATTATATTCTATGACTTAACCTTGGTTATATTTTAGATAAATTTTATTTTGAAACTTAACATTTAGTGTTAATACTTAATGTCAACAGTTAATGTTCGTATTATTGTTGGGGAATGATTTGTGGAGTTCTTACTAGTTCTGATGACCTTTTTCTCTTTCACTTGTTTATAAAGAGGTTGGGCCCCCTGGGGAAAGCATGTGGCTGTTCAGGAAACATTAGTGGGAGGAGAGATACCTGGTTTTCAGTCCTCGGATTTAGTTTGAGCTGTTTGTCTTTCAGTCCCAGCTTTCCTTTTGAGGAATGAAGATTATAAACTTGGGCTTTTCTCTGTCAGCTCAGAAAAAGCTTTAAGATTGTTGTTCTCAGTAAAGGGGATTCTGGAAAATAGAAGTGTTTTTTTTTTTTGTCTCTCAAATCTATCTAGGTGGTCAACGTGTCTCATTTAAAAAGAGACATTTATAGTTGCCATGATTACAACTATAATCCTGCTTTAGAAGGTTTTTAAAATTTTTTGTCATCAAGTTCAATGGATGGGCCAGAAGTTTGGAAAAATTATAATGTGTCATATTGCTTTACTTTTCAGTGCAAAAGAATGGAATTCGGCATTGTTCCTATACAGCTTCCCGGAAACACCTCTATGTTGATAAAAATACAAAGGTTATTTGCCAGGGTTTCACTGGTAAGCAGGTATGTGTTTCATGATTTTTAAAAATGATGTATACTAGAGATGTAAAAAATGTTTTAATGATTTTCTATTTTTTTAATCTAACAAAAATTATAATACATGATGGTGGCAGAAAAGTAATCCAGTATCGCAGTGGAGTTGTGTCTTAGCAGCAGGTCAGTTACCATATTCAGCTCGTAAAATGAAAATGGTGCTTAAACTTACCTTGAAAATTCCTCCTGAGGATTTCATTATTTTGTAAACCCACATATTCTTCTTCAGCAGGTGTAACACCACTGGTTTTCCTCCAGCATCAGAACAGATCACGATTTTCTTAATTAAGCACTAGGTAAAGCACATGGCGAGTGTTTAGGCCTTATACAAAAAACAAACAAACAAACAAACAAACAAAAATACACAGTTGAACACCGATCTGCCTTCAGGGTGGGGAAATGCTCAAGCCCCGAGAGGCTCCTGGGATCTGAGATAGGCCAGTTAGCACCACATTGACCTTTCCCATCTATTTTCTTTACCTTTTCTTGTGTGTGTGTGTGTGTGTGTGTGTGTTTATGTTACTGCAGACCAGCAAGTATATACACTTTGAATAGCACTGCTTGAAAGGGAGGGCTGTTTTTCTTTCCAAAATTCAGTCACTGACCTTAGACAAGTCAGTTTCCTAGTTTGAAAAGTGAAGAAGTTGAATTAGGAAATTTTGGAGTCCCTCTAAAGGCCTATGTCTTGTGTCTTTAGTAGAATTTAAGTAGTTGGATCAGCATAGATCCATAAAATTTTCGGTAAGTACTTGTCGAGAGCCTACTATACATAATGTGTTGATTTAGGCCATCTCGCAGTGAGCAAAGTAGACAGAAATCACTGCCTTCATGGAATTTACATTTTAGTTGCCAAGGAGAGAAGCATATCAACAAAATCAGTAAAGAAGTTACGTGATACGTTAGAAGGTAGAAATGCTATGTGGAAAATAAAGCAGAGAAAGGAGGGCTTTGTGTACGTCTGTGGAGTCCTGGTGCTGGTTGGGGTGGGGAAGGGAGGACTTTATCTCCTGTGGTCAGGGGAAGCCCGATCTCTGAGTCAAGATCTAAATGAGACGTGGGAGTGAACCGCATGGATACTTAGGAGCAGTGTGTTATTGGTGGGGAGGGAGGAGGGCATGGTACTCTGAGGGGAGGTCAAGGCCACTGTGACTGGCGTGAAATGGGAGAGCAGTAAATGAGGTCAGGCAGGTAAGGGTTCAGAGATGGGGAGGCTGGTTGGCTACTGACTTGCAGGCCAGTCTAAGGAGTTTGGCTTTTACTGTGAGGGAGATGGAAAAACCACTGGAAGGTTTGAGTAGAGCAGTGACACGATCTTCCTTATGTTTTAACAGAACACCGGCTTCTCTGTTGAGAATAGATTGAGAGGGAGCAAGGGCAATATTCTTGTCAAGAGTTGATGGTGACTTAGGCCAAGGCAGAAGCCATAGAAAGGGGGAGATGTCAGTTTTATTTAGAAGGCAGGGCAGTATGATTTACTGATGTATCTGATGTGAGATGTAAGTAAGGGAAAGAGAAAAATCAAGGAGGACTTCAGTGATTTTGGTCTGCACACCTGTTGTGAGTGGAGTTGTTACTAATTCACATGTGTAGCCTGTCGAGGGGAGTGATCAGGAACTCAGTAGTGGGCACTTTAAGATGCCTACTAGTTCCCCAGTGGGGATACCGCACAGGCGGTGGACATGTGAGTATGGGATCGAAGACAAAGGTCTGGGTTAGCTGTGTGTGTGTGGGGGGATCTCCATAGGGATATTTATTGCCATGATAAGGGATGAGATCACGAGGGCACACATTTAGATGAAAAAGATATCTGAGGGGAGAGAGAAAGAGAAGGGAGGTGGAGCCCCAGAGGCCTAGTGAATGAGAGTCATTCAGTCCCTGGAGACATTTTCGGTTGTTACAGCTGGAGGGGGAAAGCGTGTGGTGCGGGCGGGCATCTACTGAGAAGCCAGAGGTGCTGCTAAACATTGTCCAAAGCAGAGGACAACCTCCCACAACAGAGTGAGTGTGTCTAAAACATCAGTAGTGCCGAGGTGGAGAAGCGAGAGGGATGTGTAGGACGTTTGCACAGCTTAAGAGGCTCACTTAAGGTTAGTGATCATTAATTTAAAGTGAGATCAGTTAGGACAGTTTTTTTTTTTTCTTTAGCTACTGTTTGGCTGCAAATGTGCTATCTTAGAGTAGGTAGCTGGATTTAATTAAGGTTGTGACTTTGCCAGATGTATAAGTTGAAGTGAGAGAGAGCCAAGATTGCTGTGTGATTGTAATGATTGACCGTGGATTTTAAGTTCAGTAAAAAGGAATGTGAGACATCAGGAGCTGAACAACAGTGAAAAAGCGGCGTTAAGTCTGTACGAGGGTATGTCCGATCCTCAGCCACAGCTGTTTCGGCTTTGCAGAGGCCTGTTTGGCTCCATGGTTTAAAGCTTCGTTCAGTAAGTGATGAGAATGCTGGCTCTATGTTACTGGTATACTCTGAGAAGTAGTTCACTTGTTTGTTTTCCTTGTCCAACTTGCTGAAGATTGCCTAGCCTGTCTTTTCTCTTGAGTCTTATGCTTTTTCCCCTCAGGGCACCTTTCACAGCCAGCAGGCTTTGGAATATGGCACCAGACTCGTTGGAGGAACCACTCCAGGGAAAGGAGGCCAGAAGCACCTGGGCTTACCAGTCTTTAATACTGTAAAGGAGGTACGTAATGTCCCTGTCTGTGGCAGGAGAAGAAAAGCAGGGGACAGTCAGCATACTTTGGATAAAGATCTTAATTGTGTCCCTTTTGAGAGAGTCATTTGCCATTTTAAAATCCAGTAACCTAGAGAGATTTAATTCACAGTAAAAAGCGGTGGGGTCACTTTAGTGACCTACGCTGAGGATGTTTGCTCCGTGGCCTGTGTCACTTTTGTTTATAGGCATACATACGCTCTTCAGGGAAGAGGAGCTGTGGCTTGGCTCTTCTCTGGCTTGTCACCCTTTCTCCCCTGCCTTCTTCCCAGACGTTAGTAGTGTACATGTCAGCATTCACCACCTAACTGGGCACTGGTCTGGGTGCTTCATGTACATTGCCTCGTCTGGGCCTCACCACAGCCCTCTGAGGCTGGTGCTGTTATCACCTCCATTTTAAAGACAAGGGTCTCACTGGTGCAGAGAGGTTCAGGGTCCGACTGATAAGTGGCGGGCTTAGCAGGGCCCAGAGTGAGTAGTGTGTTCCTGTGTGAAAAAGCCGAGCTGCTGAGTCAGCTGGACAAATCACAGCTGACTTTTCCCCAAATTGTTGATTTCTTAATATTTTAAAAATGATGTTTAAACTTAATTTTAATTCTTTGTTGTAAAATGTGTATAAAATACAAATTCAGATGATATGAAGGTATGCAAAGTTAAATTTTATAGTGTTTTCCACATCTCATTTTTGCCTTTGTAGAGAGCTAATTTAAGCCCTGTGGGATTTCTTTCTGTACTTAATGTGAATGTATACAAAAACTATTTTAAAGGAAATAGTAGTACAAATTCTTGACTATTTAATTAAAAATATCTAGGAAGTAAACAGTACTTTGGAGTGATGTACTAATGATAAAAAGCATATATACTGCTGTCCCCTTTCTTTTAGGGCATGTTTTAAAGTATTACATTTTAAATTTTTTAATTATTTTATTTTATTTTTTAAAAGATTTTATTTATTTTTAGAGAGAAGGAAGGTAAGGAGAAAGAGAAGGAGAGAAACATCAATGCATGGTTGCTTCCCACATACCCGCTACTAGGGACCTGGCCCACAACCCAGGCATGTGCTCTGACTGGGAATGGAACTAGTGACCTTTTGGTTTGTAGGACTGCACTGAATCCAGTGAGTCATACCAGTCAGGGCAGTTTTGCATTTTTTGTAAAGTATAGAGTTATAGATGATCTCTTTTCAGAATGCTAAATTCAAATTGAAGTTAATTTATACTTTGAATCCTAAGATGTAAAAAAACATAAATATTCAAATTTTGATTTTTTATTTTTCTTTAAATTTGAAAATAGGGTGTGCTATATGGTGTGTGCTTTAAGTGTTTTATTTTATAGAGTTAAAAAAGTTAAAAATCATATGGTCTATAAAGGAAACATTTAAAGTCTTTTTGCTTTATTTTGTTTTTCCTCCCCTTAAATTATATAATGGCTGCTTTTATGATCACCAAATAGAGAGAGGAGCTGCTTTCATAGTTCCTCTAGGTAGATTGACTTTGTCATTAGCTTTTTCTGCTTTCTTTTAAACAGTGTTTTTGTTACTAACAGTTCATTTATGATTCAACATGATACAAACAGATATGCTATTTGGAATATTCTGTAAATTCTTTGATTGATACTGTTTATTTCTCACATTTTCAGTTCTTACAATGAGCTTTCTGAATGAGTAGGATGGATATCTGTTATTCATTATTACAGTCCAGCTTCTGACAATCTTTGTAGCCTGAAGAGGTAGAGAACTGTAGGATGTATTTTCATAAAGTACCTACATGCCTATGATCTGACTTTTGGTTCCAACCTACTTTTTATTTCTTAATGTGCCCCTTTCGTTTTTACCACCTGGAACAGAGTTTTTTAAAAGAAACTATTTTTAGCCTTGGCTGGTGTGGCTCAGTGGGTTGAACACAGGCCCATGGACCAAAGCGTTGCTGGTTCCATTCCCAGTCAGGTCACCTGCTTGGGTTCCAGGCCAGGCCCCCAGTAGGGGGCACGTGAGAGGCAACCACACAGTGATGTTTCTTTTTCCCTGTTACTCCTGCCTTTCTTCTTTCTAAAAATAAGTAAATAAAATGTTAAAAAAATTAGTTTTAACCCCTGGCATCATTAGTGGGTGGTCTGTCAGCATCCTTTGACCTCGTTCTTCTCATCATCAGGGTGCCTCTTTATTAGGGATGCAGTAGAGAAAGCTTCTCAGTTTCTGGGAATGTGGGGAATCACTGTGTTTTACTTCTGCCCCCTTCTGGTTGTACCTGTCTGTTATGTACCTTTGTATTTGTATTAACCATTGTGAAGTCCCACTGCACAGCCTTCGAAAAGTTTTTGGTTTATAGCATGATTAAGTTACATTTGAAGACTTGCAGGGAGGTAGCCTGCTGTAACTGAAAAGAATAGACATTTGAAATCAGTAGACATAGGTTTGAATCTTGGCTCTGCCACTTCCTAGGTGTGCAAGCTCATGCAAATTACTTAATATCTCTTGGCCTCAGAGTCAAGGCATGCAGGGTTGTGGGGAAGGCTTAACTGAGACCCGTGTAGAGCCTCCTGCAGAATAGGTGCTGCTCTTTTGGAGAGTCAGAGATCACTGATAATCTTCAGAGCTTCTGTCACAGCAGAAGAGACATGGCCACATATGGAAGTGGAAAGAAGGCTCCATCTGTATTGATACACATGTAGAGGATGTACAGACCAACCACAGGCTTGTGTCCAGAGAGAAAAAGGGCGGTCAGACTGATGGTCTTTAAGTGTTTTGCATTATGAGGGGTGATGTAGTGTATACCCTAATGCTTATTTCACCCATTCTTATTCTGTGGCCACTTATGCTTTTTAGTTCATTTTAGAGTAAAAATTGTCAGCTAAAAACATTTCATTTTTGCTGTCTCTTATATTTATCAAGTATAATATATTTTTAAACACAGGTTTGAGAGTGTAGTCCCAAGGCTCAGGGACTCAATAGTCCTTTTTCTCCTGAGGAGGTATAGCATCTTTGGGAGTGAATAGGTGATACATTGTTTTGTAAACTAAAAAAGTAAACAAGACCACAGGAATGAAGGGACACCAATGCAAATCAGGCTGTGCTTTCAGGTTCACTGATACACTGTTGCCTGAGGGATGTCATAGAACCTGTGAATTCAATGGCATTCCAAGGGCATGGAGAGGAGGCCATGAAGACATCCCAGGTTTCCTGGTGGTATCATGGGGTTGGATTCATTTTTCAGTGTTTATGATTTAACCAGTAATAAATGCTTCATGGTTAATATTTCAGGCCAAAGAACAGACAGGAGCAACAGCTTCTGTCATTTATGTCCCTCCTCCTTTTGCTGCTGCTGCCATTAATGAAGCTGTGGAGGCGGAAGTGCCCTTGGTCGTGTGCATAACGGAAGGTATCCCACAGCAGGACATGGTACGGGTCAAGCACAAACTGCTGCGCCAGGGAAAGACAAGGCTGATTGGGCCAAACTGCCCTGGAGTCATCAATGTGAGTGAAAAAACATGTATCCACAAGGCTGGCCTTTGCCTCTCATGAGGCTGATTACCTTTGGGTCAGTCCAGTGTACTTGTGTGTATGTCCTATGAGTGAGAAGTTTTTTTCACTTTTCTGAAACTATGATTTACTTTCCTTCAGCCTGGAGAGTGTAAAATTGGTATCATGCCTGGCCACATTCACAAAAAAGGAAGAATTGGTGAGTATGTTTTCAAAGGTTAAAAAAAATTCTTTGCCCTAACCTCAGAACTTAAAAACAGATTTTTGTGAATGTAAGTCAAATTCATTTCAATTGCCAAGGAAGTTTTGTAGTGAATCAGTTTGATAGCCTAAAGCAAATGAATTTGAGAAGCCATAATGATTCTGTAGAGTCTGTGGAAATATTTTGGGGGCAGAGATTCTTTTCCTGCTCAGATGCCATGGATTCTTCCGTGTGTTTGCATATATCGATAGTTAATTTCATTTTATTGCTAAGTAATTGTCAGGTCGGAGTCGCTCAAGAAACCAGACGGATGCAGCAAGTTAAGCAGGAGGGTTTATTACCAGGGAATAAGAGGGAAAGAGGAGCCAAGCTAGGGAGGTTGGGACTTGGGGAGGGAAAGAGGAGCCAAGCTAGGGAGGTTGGGACTTGGGGAGGGAAAGTGGAGCAAGTATAGCCAGCCTAGGGAGTTTAAGACTTGCTTGGTTGTTTTTAGGGCAGGGTTTTTAAGCACAAAAAGCCACGAAGGGTAACTGGTTGAGGTGTCAGAGTCTGATTGGCTAGAGCTGGCTGCTGGGTGCCATTTCTGCTGATCATTGTTCTTGATATATCTTGTCAAGCTCAAGTTAAAGCTGCATTTTTTTTATGCTGAATAGGAGGACCCCAGTCTCTGCCAGGCATCTGTCTGTCCTCGGTAGGGTCGGCAGGCAGTTTCCCAGGCTCTGGTTTCCTACTGGACAGTTTTCCACCTGGTGATTTTCCTTTCCTCCTAGGCCTGCCTAGGTCTGTCAGTGATATTCTGTTATGTAATTATATCACAGTTTGTTCATTCTGTCATTGATGAACATTTGCATTATTTCCAGGTTTGAGCCATTATAAATAAGGCTACAGTGAATGTACAGGTCTTTTTGTGGACACATTTTCATTTCTCTTGGGTAAGATACCTAGGAATGCAATTGCTAAGTAATAAAGTTGAAGTATGTTAAACTTTTTAATAAATTGCACAGTAATTCTGCAAAGTGGCAGTTCATTTTTACCTTCCCACTGTCAGTGTTTGAGCATTATGGTTGTTCCACATCTTCACAATTATTTGGTATTGTCAGTCTTTGATGTTAGCCATTTTCCTGGGAGTGCAGTGGTGTCTCACTATGGTTTTGATTTCCCTGATGATAATGATGTAGAACATCTTTTCTTGTAGTTGTTGGCTATTTACGTCCTTTGTGAATTACCCATTCAAGTTGTTTACATTTTTTTTATTGGATTGGATTTTTGTTGTTGATTATTGGGGGCTCTATAAAAATTCTGGATATAAGTTCTTTGTTGAATATATGCGAGTATTTTTATTGTTAGTTTTTCTGTGTCCTGTCCTATAATTACTTTGCCCTCTTGGATATCACAGACTTATTGGGAAAATTGTATTGCTATTTATTTAGTTCTCAAGGTAATAACTAAATTAAGATTTCAGAGCCCATTATTCTTGTTCTACTCTTCACACCTCTCACTAAGCTATACTGTTTCTGCCCAGTGGTTATAGTAATTTATCTATAGGCCATAACTATTAATAATACTAAATGTAGTATGTAAGTGAGTGTTGGCTGTGTAGTTTACAGGACTAGGTTGAAAGTCATTTTCTTTATTATGAATGGCTCTTAGAGCTGGCAGTGCTGATGCCAGTAGGGGACTCTCCAAGGGAATTCCATTAACCATCTGAGTTCTGGTGGGAGCCTGACCCATTGAGTGCTCCCGTCATACTTGAGTCTTTTCGTGCTCTTTGGTCTGCCTTGAGTGGTTTGGCTATAGGACTGAGGTGACCATGGAAGGAGTGCCCTGTGCCGAGCTGCCTGTGTGATCACTACCTTGCTTTCTTACATGACCATAACCCTAAAAAACAAAAAACAGAAGTTAAGGGGAATAAACCCTTTAGACCTTGGTTCTCTGAATGGCTATAACACATTGATGAGACAGTCCTCTGGGACACTGCTTTTAATTCCTTTGAAGAAGGACTTTAAAACAAATTCCCCTAAAATAAAGTATGTGATACTACAAGATTTTTGAGAAGGTGTGGAGAGAAAATGTGATTATATGCACTGACAATATCTGTTTTGATACCAGTGCTAATGTTTTCTGAAGCCTTGTCGTCTTATCACCTTAAGCTAAGAGTTTAGGGAGAGGAAGGAATTTTTGGTCTCATAGGTATTTCTTGGGACATACAAGTACCCAATGTACTATGACAGCAGTGCAATATTATGGTGACTTTCTAGTTTGTGGTAATGAGTAAGTAAAAGTGTATGTGTGATGTGGACTCCGACCACCAGGGTCCATGGGTTGTGGCTACCATGAACAAATTCACGTGCACTGCAGAAGTCCTGTGGAGAAAAGGGACGGCAGGGCACTCTGAGTGACAGGGCGCCCTGACCCTTGCCTGGACAGGCTTTTATTGCTTCTCTGGGAGCATTACCTCCAGGAAGGTCCTCATTTATTATGCACAGGTTTGCTTTAGGAGATTACTTTTTACAGATAACAAAGAAAAGAATGTTGTAAATGCAAGGGAAAAAGTGGTTGAACTGGTTACACTCCATCCTTGGGAGGTTTAGCATAGATTTTAGGAAATTACTTTAAAGATATGCAGTGAACATTTGCTACCTCAATTCAGGGTGAAGGAGTTTTAGCAAAAAGCAAATCTCAAAGCAGTGTAGGTACAATGCAGGCCTGGTTCCCCATGGGAAGGGCGATCTGTGGGCGTGGCTCCAGTGTGCCGCCTCGCACCTGTTGGTTTTCGGGACCAGGGCTGAGCCACATTAACCACTGCCAAGCAGACCCGTTCCGTATATGCCAGCTAATTGAATATCATTGAAGTGATTGGATTCCAACTTGATAGTTCACTATACCTTTTTTTTTCTGATATGATAGACATTATTTTTACTGACAAACACATGACACACTTGACCCTTCCATCCTTTTTAAAAATTTTATTTTAATTAAACTTCTTATATTTAGAAACTTATAAATTCACATATAGTTGTAAGAAATAATACATGTAGATTTCAGTGAACCCTTTCTGAAGCTTCCTGCAATGGTAACATCTTACAAAAGCTGTAATAGCAGGTCACAACCTGGATATTGACATTGATACAGTCAAGATAAAGGATGTTTTCATCACCGCAGGGATCCCTCATGTTGCCTTTGTGTAGCTGCACCAACCCCTTCCTGCTCTGACCTCTTTCTTGATTTTTGGCAACTAAAATATATTTGCCATTTATGTAATTTTGACATTTCAGGAATCATACACTATGTACTTTTTTTGGGGATTGGCTGCTTACACTCAATATAATTCTCTGGAGACTCATCCAGGTTATTGAATATATCAGGAGTTCATTCCTTTTTATTGCTGAGAAGTATTCCATTGTATAATTTACCATAATTTGTTTAACCATTTGCCTTTTGAAAAATATGTGGGTTTCTAGCTTTATAAATCAAGCTTCTATAAACATATAAACATTTGTATACTGGTTTTTGTAATAAGTTTTCATTTATTTGGGATGCTCAGGAATGCAATTACTGGTTTGTATGATAGTATGATAGTTACATGTTTGTTTTTAAGAAACAAAAAACAATTTGTGGTGTTGCTATTTTTTATATTAGCCATCTGATAAGTTCAGTGATATCTGATTGTGGTTTTGATTTACCCTTCATGTGTTTATTGTGTCATGTGGGTTTTTTTTGTGGTCCATGTTCTAATTGAATTATTTGCTTTTTTACTGGTAAGTTTTGAGAGTTCTTTGTTCTAGATACTGATACATTTTGGACATGTGGTTTGCAAATACTTTCTCCGACTCTGTCGCTTATATTTTTATCATTCCATCATCTTTCAGAAGGCATACATTTTTAATTTTGTTGAAATCTAATAATTTTTCTCTTTTGTGAAGTGTGCTTTTTAAAAAATATTTTATTTCTTTGTTTCTAGAGAGAGGGGAAGGGATGGAGAAAGAGGAGAGAAACAGCAGTATGTGGTTGCCTCTTGCTTGCTCCACACTGGGGACCTGGCCTGCAACCCAGATATGTGCCCTGACTGGGAGTCGAACCAGTGACCCTTTGGTTCAAAGGCCAGCACTCAGTCCGCTGGGCCACACCAGCCAGGGCTGAAGTGTGCTTTTGTTGTCAAGTCTAAGAATGCTTTGCCTAGCAAGATCCTTGTCTTTTTCCTAAAAGTTTTATAGTTTCACATTTAAATTCATGATTTATTTAATTTCTCTGTGAGTTGTGAGACTTAAAGTTTCTCTTTAATGCCTATAGGTGTCCAATTGCTCCAGCATCATTTGTTGAAAAAAATTATTTCTGCCATTGAATTGCTTTTGCATTTATGTCAAGAATTAGTTGACATATTTGTGTCAGTCTATTTCCGTGTTCTCTCTTCTGTTCGGTGACTCATGTGCCCATCTGACACCGGTACCACCAGTCTTGGTTACTGTAGGTATAATAATGTCTTGAAATTGGAGGGACTGATTCTTTGCACTCTATTTTTTTTCAAATTATTTTAGCTGTTCTAGTTTCTTCACTTTTCCATGTCATTTTTAGAACGATCTTGTCTATATCTATAAAAGCTCTTGTTGGGATTTTGATAGAAATTGTGTTAAATGTACGTGACAGTTTGGGGAGAATAGACATCTTTACTGTTCTATCTTCGAATCTATGGACACAGTATTTTTTCTCCATTTATTTAGATTGCCTTTGATTTCTTTCATCAACATCATGTACTTTTTAGAATATAAGTACTGTACCTGTTTTGTTAGAGTCACACCTTAATATTTCTTTTCTTTTAAAAGCAATTGTACATTTCATTGTATTTTAATTTTGGTGTCTATATATTCATTGCTAATCTGTAGAAACGCAATTGGTTTTTGTTGCTGAATTCCATAGGAGTTTCTTGGTAGATTCCTTTGCATTTTCTATGTAGACAATCTTGTCATCTGCAAATAGGGACTGTTTTATTTCTTCCTCTT